CAATCGTCCGATTGTTTTCACAGTCAAGGTCCATCTCAAGCGTACACATCTTCCAAAGCAAAAATCAGCGCTGCATATTAATTAAAGATATGCCTATTAAAACGTATTTGTTAAAATGCACGCAATCGAGCCAGTGATATGACATTACTTTAACACTAGTTTTAAAGATTCGGCACAGGGCTATTGCCCGAAAACATCATTGTGTGAATTAAGTATTAATTTTAATTTATTTTGCAATTAATTATCCTTATTTCTTATACTCTTCATATTAGCTTCGATGGAAATTAATCGTGTTTTAGCCTCTTAAAGTTATATTCTGCAGTCAAAAGATATTTTGCAAATTCGGCGATCCTATCGTTCGTGTGAAAAAATATGAAGTTTCATTAGAACCAATATGATTTCTAAATAATTTGTATATTCGTTTCTATTCTGTTATTTCCAAATGATTTACCATTAACGTATATCCAGTGCTTAATATAATGAAGTTTTATCTTTCTAGGAACATTTCACAATTTATTTCATGAATTTATTACTTAGTATACATAACAGTTAAAAGTAAATTTCAATTAACTTTGCTTTGTATAAGATTATGTTATTCCAATTTATAATTCATAGGCATGTTTTTTAACTATAAAACATCAAACAACGCGCGATCAATTATATTCAAATCAAAATCACGTATCTATGTTCATGAATATTTCTAAGTATTAGTAATTATTTTCATTTTTATATGCTTTTTGAGTATTTTCTTAGGAATTTTTGTGCTTTTCTTTCTTTCAATGAAGAATTGTAATCAGCAAAAATTACTGATTACTACACGAAGAGTGTGTGTAGAGAAACATTTTTGCAAAAATATTTCGTGCCTCGCAAAAAGTAACAAAAATTTATAAAAAATATACGGCATCCCGTGTTTGTACAATTTATGCGCATATAGATATAATCTTCCATTAGGATACGTACAAAAACAAAGAGAGGTGCCAATTTGTGTCCAATGCTTGCTCGTTTGCAATTAAAATAATTTCGAAATAGTGTGGACTGTGGGAAATATAGCAAAAGTCTGCTAGAAAAGTTTCAGCTCAATATTTCAAAACGTATGCCCACGATTCTCGATTTATGTTATAACATTTTACGATGCATATTGAATATCAATCAATATGCTGGCAGAGATATAACGTATAAGTATTTCCCAAAAAACGTATTTAATTATACATATCTCCATGGCTAGCATTACAATATGTATAAATATACATATATTGACGAGACCATAAGAAGATATATATATATATATATAATAAATGCAGTGTATCGCCATCTTCAAATTGAAGTAATCAACGTGATTCCTCTCAGACAAATCTGCGCTTACATTTCGAAGTAGCAGGACGGTATTAATCGCTCCAATTTAAAAACATACGACACGTTTGTGTGTGTGTGCGTGTGTGTGTAATACACATATACATATATATCCTAACGAATATAAATCCTCCGTTAACTTGGCGAGATAATCGCAACGATTTTGCACTGTTGATCGCGCGCGTAAATGTTGCTAGATTTCTTCTTTCATTTTAATTATATCCTCCCAATCGCTTATGAAGGCGCCATTAATGTGGCAACGCTTGCGGAGTATCGAGTGTTCGTCATAAAAGCAATTTATGTACATAAAAAGTAATAATTTATATAGCTTTGTATACAATTTTGTACATTAAATAATTTCTTTCTAATATAAATTAACGCATCGTTAGTTGAAAAAAACTGTTAAAAGAAGTTGTTATGGATCGACCTTTTTTCATTTTTTACAACTTCCTGTAAGCGTTCGCAGATTAATGACTAGCATTGTATGCACGCCTTCATTCCAGGTTCGGTCCTGACACTTAATTGATGGTGATAGCTTCTTGGTTTTTACTAAATACAATCACAAACAATACAGCGGCTCTATATACTCGAGGTACAGCATCTCTACATAAGATTAGTATTGGGAAAACAAAAGAATTATAAAGGGAATTATAAGAGATCAAATTAAAGAAAAAAATAAGAAAAAGAAAGGAAAGGAACTACTATTTTATTCTTTCGTGGAGTCATTTGAATCATGTTTTGTAAATTTTTTCTTTACATCTTCGAATTCAAGGGAAATACTTAAGTACGTCCCTCAAATTCAAAAATGTAATACTAACGTTCAGAATTTTTGTACGATCGAACAATTCAAATTATTCTCACAGGTCTAATCTGGAACAAACAAAAATTTATTTTTTGTAACAATTATTATTATTTTGGTTCTAACGTTTAGTGATGTCCGAGCATGGCCCGAACAGCCAAATCTTCGAACTGATCAATCACCAACCTTAAAATCAACCGTTAATTTCAAACTGTCTGAATTTAAAGCAAAAATTTGAGCTTCATTTTGACTTATTCAAGCGTAATTTGTTTGAATCTCTTGCCTGAGTCTTCATAAGATTTAATATTTAAGTGTTCTCAGTTTCCGATGGCTTATCTACGAGACCCTGTGTCTTATACAGATCCAACATAACTCAAGAGCTTAGCTACCCCGCATTCGACCGCAATAAAATGTAGAACCCATGACGTAAAAAGATCAGGTAAACGCTTTAAATCAGTTTCAAGTAATAACCGACATTCGTGACCAATCAGAAATTGGCCCCAAATTTTAAGTATTGATATAAAGCCGCCATTAGAAATTTCCCTCCAACCAGTCAGAAATTTGTCTCAAATCATCATTATGCGCAATATTACACCTGGTCTTTTTACATCCTATAATTTTACATCATAGTAGAATAGAATCTATGGTGGAATCAAGATTCCATAACGATAGAATCTGCGATTTCGCCGTTATTAAGTCGTTGATTAGTCGTTATAGAAACGCACGCGTAATCATAGGGCGTAGCCTAGCAACACGCGTGTTCCTAATTCCTGTGAAAGCCACCGCGGCGAAAGTGCTCGTCCCATCATTCAGCGACGATACTTCCTCCCGAGGAGGAAAACCGCGCGCGATTAATAGTCGCTTCACGACTATTAATCGCAATCAACGACGCGACCAATCAACGACGGTCCTGGACCCAGCTTGATACGAATCATCAACGGTGACAAACAATATTTCCAAAGGGGTACGTGTGGATTGTTATCGCGTTGCGCGCGTTTTTCTGTATAGAGCGTATCGACGAGAGAGAGAGAGAGAGAGAGAGACAGTGTGCATTTTCCGAGAACGACTGAATTTTCCCCAATCGCGCACTTAATCGAATTTATCCTAAAAATTACATGTGTGTGTATATATATATATATATATATATATATATATCGTACCATATTATTATTCTTGTTTACTTAAGTAATAGCTAACTACGGTAGCTTTGGTGTTTCATTGTAATCGATTTTGATAATCCCATAAATCGCCGCTCAGGCTTCCGCTACTTTAGATAGTCTGACGTACGTCCGCACACTCGCACGCCTACGACTCGTAATAACGGATACATTAGAAAATCGATGCTTCACGCACGTACACCTACAACATGTTACACGCTATGAACGCTCACGAAGAGTCCGCAGGCGATCAATATCTCTTGTCAGTGCTTCAATATCGGTGATATATATACGATTGAATGATACGCAGATATTGCGAAACTATATCACTACGTAAGAAAAGAGTGGCGGGAAAATACGGACTGATAAGACTGATAAGACCAAAAGTACTTGCCCGATAAGCAACGGTGTGTACGCTCTGATACAACATCGATGCGAAAGGGGGAAAAGATTGACCATAGATTGAGATAGTTGATATATTGATTTTATTAATAAACAAGTATCGGCCGAAGGGTATGCATTTTGTATAGAAAAATTGACCACACTCTTGTTAGCAGAAATATTGAATGCCTGCGCGGCCCGTTAGAATCGATTGGGTCTAGAAAAGGGCGTACAACGAAGTGTCAACCTACGAACCTACCAACGAAAATACATATGTATGATACCTACGATCGTCAACGATCGTGTGACTAACAATTTAATTGGGGGGGGAGATGCATGGCCACGCCGAAACGTATAAAGCCACCTCTATATAACGTATAGAATGCAAGTCGCAGGTCGCGACTGAAACGTATTTCAGATTATAGATCGCAAGTTGCAATACGTAGGACGCGAAAATTGAAGTTCATCCAACTTCCTGCGCCCTGCAGCCTATTATAATTAAAATACATTAAATTAGTTACTAAGTCTTGTGACCTGCGACCTCGTTCTGCGTGGTACACAAGATCCAGCTTTATAGATTGCAGGACGTAGAACGCAGTAAAGTTGGATAAACTTCAACTTCACGTCCTGCGTCCTGCATCCCGCAACCGGAAATACGTCACGCTGCATCTATTTGCGACCTGCGATCCACGTTCTACGTAAATAGAACGGTTTAAATCAATCCTGCCTTATCTTCACGATGCACAATTGTCACGACCACGCGTTCATAATAAATGGTCGTAATCGGAGAATAGAACAAAAATTAACGAATGTAACAATTATGCGGAGTGCTTGAATCAAACGATAGACGATAGAAAAGTCAATTCGCGTGTATTACATTATACAGGGTCTCTAAATCATCTGAGAATCGCTGTCAAGAAACAACGTAATAACGACGAGATGTATTCTGTACGTATAATCGTATGATGCATTTTTCTTTAAACAAATAACATTTTTTTGAATGTAAAATGATAATATACAAGGAGAATTCAGTTCATCTCTTTCAACGCGGAAAATTCTTTTTTAATGCAACCGCACAAAACATTGGGGAAAAAAAATCTATCATTAGGAAGAAGATATATTCAAGTATAGGAGAAAATGTGTTTCCAAATGAATCACACGATCTCCCGTAAGAGTAATGAGAAATGCTCCTGGTAACGCAAAGTCACACGATCGATTTGTTATAATTTTTCGTTTTTAGCACCTACCGTGGAAACAGAATTGTGCAAATAATATGAACGTCTGCAACTGGATGTGACATCCCCTGAGTGATGTATTTTCTTTTTTTTTTTTTTACTAATTTAAAATCCTTGTTCTTGTGTTGTAATTTCCATCTCACAGCCACGCATATAGCACCTTCCCCGCTGTTTCTCCCGTTCCTTCATCATCGTCGTCGTCGTCGTCGTCGTCTGAAAATCCCATAAATTTGGCACAAATTCGTGATACGAAGGGTTCTTTGATCACTGAATCTTCTCGCGACGAATCGTAGAAAGGGAAATCGATCGTATCTTATTCGAACCTCGATCAGCATCTTTTCACTTTCGAAGGCGTCCTTTTCTTAGACACTATGCTTCACAAAGCGCGAGAGATCATAATATAGGAGCTACGCCAGGTACCTATTTCGAGTATTAATATACAGTTTGACCTTAAATCAAGTTCTTGTAACTTCGCTAAAATCTTGCCAGAGATCGACGCCAATTGTCGTTTCCATGATTGCCAAAATATCCGGCGATCGTCACGGGATCATGTCCATGTAGATGAAACGGTCTCTTCGTTTTCCATGTGTTGTTATCGAAATGGCAATGGAGTCTTTGCTAAGTTCCGTTCGACGAGATCAAGAACATCTTACAATGTATCCTCGTACTGCTTGCGTAACGTTTTGCAGAAAACGAAGAGGCAACAAGATGCTGGAAAATCCGCTCTTCGATTCTACAGATTTAGAATTGCTCGATTGCTATTCTACGTTGCTAGGAGCCGTATTATCGCATTGCCCTAAAAGAAGAAAATTAAAGTATTGAATCATAAGAGGCTTCGATCGAGGAAAAAAAAATTTAAAGAAAATATTAAAAAAAAAACACACAAAAGTTACAACAAAATAAAAATAGAAGCAATATAGAAAGATAAAACAATCAGTTACGTACATTTTAACATTTAGGTAATTAAATTCTTGAGTTGATGAGATAATATTGAAAAAGATTCAACAAAGATATCATTCTCTAAATTTTCGTCGGAAAGAAATAATCTTCAAATTCTACGAGAGATCTATCGTTGGATTGGCGCGCTTCACATTCTCTAATTATTCCCAATATCTTTGATTTTTCATAGAAGGAGAAAATACTCTCAACGGTTTGAAAAAGTATTGGGAAATCTAGCTTTAGATTTACCTTCAACAAAAAAGCGGCGCCTCTGGTTGGTTCCACCAGTGGGCAGCCAGGAGTAGGTAGAGCTCCTGATCCTGGACGGTGTAACCAGGTGGCGGCTGAGAGGGCAGAGGTGGCGGGATAGGCGGCAACAGGGAATAGGACGGCGGCGGCGGCGACGGGGATAAGGATTGTGAGAACGTTGTCGTCGAGAGCGGCGTCGGCGGCGTCGCGGTGACCGCTGCTGGAGGCTCGTCTTTAGCCGGAGATCAAAGCGCGCAGTCGAACATCGCCAGCGACCGTGTGATCACATCGTCCTGCAATCAAGTTCACATCACTGAGAATCACGTTGTATGTTATATTTTTTTTCTTCCAAAAGTTCAGAACTTAGCGCGACGATCGAGACACGCGCGACTTGCCCGGAATATCATTCCGCTATCGACAAAAGCACTGAACGAACTACAAACAAGCTTGCGCAAGTTCCATAAACATCGATTAATCTTCGGTGCCCTTATTTTTGTTTCTTGCATTCGTGCACTGTGAGTTCACGTGCATTTATTGTCAGAGCGTAATTCGTACGTTCCTGTACCTGTGTAGAAAGCCGATATTCACAGTCAGTTCTTATTTTAAGACTGTCTTAAATAATGTCTTATGCTAATATGGCTCCGTGATTGGCTTATACTGCTTATAGTATCTTAAAATTATATTATACTTAAGACGATCTCTTAAATGTAAAAATCAACTATGATAATACTGGTCAATGTACCGCAGAATCGAATACGAGGAATTAGAAATTACAAATATTTTACGGAAAAGTTTCTTGACGACACATGGATATTGATATTGATAAAAACATCTCTACGATGTTATCTTTAATATCGAATGATTCTGCCAAATTAATTCTCAAGACTATAAATGGATAATAAAATCTATACTTCTCAGTGAAATATAAAATCTATTATTTCTACAGAAATACGTAATTCAATAATTAATCATCACGATGTATAACATGGAAAATTACGAGCTCATTCAAAAAAAAGGGAATCGTTCCAAGTCTGGTTGAACTGCGAGTTGAAACTGGCTGAAAGAACACCCGGCAGATCTGGGACATTTTGTATATACGTCTCGGACTTTACATTCATTTATGAAAGGGAGTGCATACAGAGTGTCCCAAGTTCACTATATCTTCTTCTATTCAGATTTTAATTAAACTGAAATTATTATTATAGTCTGATTCATCAATATGGGAGCGTATGACACGCAGATAACAAAGGCATTAAAAAAAAGTCAGTTGTACATCAATCTCAAAGAGTCTACAAGATATTAGATACAAATGGGAGCGACGATAGGGACGCCCTGTATACTTTCCATCTACTACTTGCAGTTATTGCTCGTAGTTTCATGGCCAGACATACCTTCAAACAACTCTCGATAAACTCCTCGATCGTGATAACACCGTCCTGGTTGAGATCGAGTTTCTTGAAGACCCTGTCCAGCTGTTCTCTCGCTTTCCTTTCCTCCTCGGCGTGATGCCGTCTGCCCATGAGCTCGTGGACTGCTGTCACAACTTCGCCCAATTCGCCCCTAGTGATGCAACCATCGCCATTTATGTCGTACAGCTTGAAGGTCCACCTCAGTTTCTCATAAATGCTACCCCGCAGTAGGGTCGACAGCGTTACCAGAAGGTCCTGCAATCCCCGGAATTATCTAAGTCGCGCGACTTTAATACGAAACGCGGTGGAACGACGATGCTTCTCGAGCGTCTGAGCGTCTGTCTACTTTGTGGATTTCATGAAAATTCAAATGAAATTTCACAATTTGACGGACAATGAAGAAATAGTTCGGATGTAAATGAATATTAAAAAAACCAAGACATCAGCGAAGCAGAAAAAAATGTTAATCAATATCTCAAACGAAGCGTTCGTAAGGAAATTTTCAAAGGAAAATTTTGGTTTTGGAAGTTTCAAATTTATATTTTAAGTTTAACTCGGAAACATTATGTGTGTGTATATATATTATAAAATGTATTGGTATATATTATAAAAGTATCCGCGGATACTTTTTAAATGATCTAATATATAGCGTTTTTTTATTAAAAAGACTATTCTGTCCAAAATTCAGCACGATCAAAAAAATTTCTTTCTGGGCTTAAATTGTAAATCGTCTATTTTCATTAACAACTCTAGCCCTTCCGGAAATTTAACATGACAGATCCAACATGACACGACTATAGTTCACGAAGTGCTGATTGAGAACGCTTGAATCATCAATATTGCTTACATCTAGCAACTACAGTCACTCGTGGATGCACATTAAAAACAAAACCTGCAATTATACAAAAAAAGAATCTTTCTCATCTACATAACACAAAACGTCGACAAGGGAAATTAGTCAAAATAGTATCCGGGTATGTCCGAGTTCACGTCCCACGTGAGTACCGCGTTGACCCATTGAAAGCTTTAATACCGTGTGCTTGATGCTCGGCATCAAGCTGTAGTAATCTCATCTTTGCGGTAGTAATAAATTTTCTCTATGCGCGAATGACCATGCAACATTCGCATGGAATGACGGATGATCAGCGAGATCTCCGTGAGATAGCTTCGTAGGCGCATTTGCCTCTGCATCCGATACATACCAGCGTATCCCGCATTTATCGTAAAAACGATTAATTATTCATCCGATAAACGATCCGCTCAATTGGCGGTAGTCAATCCGACTCCGGCAATCGACGATCGAGCCATTCGCGTGCCGCGTTATTATCGCGAAACATGGATGTGCATCGCCCGCCCGCATAAATGCATCAGTATTTGCCTTCCGTTTGTCGTATAACGCCGAAATTTCCCATCAAGATTCATCGCGCGTCAATGTCGATTGGAGAACTATATCGCAGAAATCGCGGCATAAAATACATAGCAAATTAAGCATGGCTTGAACTACATATGAGCGAAATTAAACTAAACCCGAGTATAGCAGATAATAATGTACTAAATTAAAAATTAATGTATGAATTGTTTCACGGTATAATCAAGTAGAACGTTCATTTATTACTTCGACTCGGAAATTTATTATTATTGTGTAATTAATTGTTAATTTGAATAAATAGCTTCTTTAACTAAAATATATGCTCTTTTTATTGTACTTTCTACACTACACTAACAGAAAAAAGATTGTAATTACTATAATCTAATTTAATTTATACTTATAATATAATTTATACTCATTTTTTTATGCTAATAAGGTTGAAATGAAGGAAAAATATTTATTTATTATCGAAGCCTGTCTGAACTGTCTGAACGGTAGCATTTCGGTTTTCCGGAAATTATCGCAGGACAAATCTGGGTTAAGTCTAAAACTTTAAATAGGACCGTATAAGTTGAGGATAAATCTGATTTATCACAGGGTTTGATCATAAAAATTTTAATTTCAAACCTCCAATAATAACTTTTTGATATGCAAACGGATGACTCATAATTTGTGACATTTTTCTCGTAATGTTAATTTCTCGTGATATTTAAAAAAGGTTTAAATAAAAGTTGTTTGTTTTTAAATCTATTATTGGATAAATTAAAAAACAAATAATTTATCAGTATGCTCCTGATAAAGTGAATGGCAAGGTTCACGAAACGTCAGCATTAATAATGGATCATGACACGGCGATAACTCGCAAAACCTCTGACATCTTTAAAACAATTTTTGCTTAAACCTTTTATCTACATTATATCACGTACAGTTTACGAAAACAATAAGAAAATGTCACAAATTATAAGTCATCTATTTATCCAAATATGATTGAAAGTCTAAATTGATATCGTAGGATGCAAAGTTAACCAAATATCCTTGATATTCTATTAGGTGTTGGAATTAATTCGTAGCGTTTTTAATGAAAGAATGTTATTTATTTCACATGAGCATTAAAAAATACATTAATGAAAGTACTTCCCATCACTTGTAAAACGCTACGAATTAATTCCAACACCTAATATTATACCAATCATTATACGATCTGGTTATAATTGTAAAATACAATGTAAAATATGTTACATTACAAATGTTACATTACAAATGTTACATCTATGAATAGAAAATAGCAACTAATATGTATGCTACATGTAACATATATTAGTTGTACGTTAGTTATATGTTATACAACAGTTAGACATATATCTGTGCTGAGTATATTATATTATAGCAGTATAAAAATGGAGCTCCTAATTATTTTACCATGCAATTGTACATATAATCATAAATAAAAAAAAACAAAACTTTTCTCTCAAAGTACAAGATATATTTTGTCTACTTTTGTCTCCAATCAATTAAGTATTTAAATAAATAAAATTTAAGAACTTTTAAGTAATTGCTTTCTTTCATCAATACATGTACACGCGTTTAAGAGATTATCACAGGAAAATTATCGCGCATAAATGATGCGCGACATATTTCAAGACGAGGATACATGTCGCACGCTGTCATTCGAAAGCAAAAGTATACACTAGCGTCATATCAAATTAAAATTAATAAAAAGAGATGTTACATGAGAGAAAGATAGAGAGACTTAATTACCCTGAAGCTGATGGCCCCGTTGCAATTAACGTCGAAGGCCTTGAACACGTAGTGGGCGTAGAGACTGGAGTCTGCAATTCGCATGAGGGATGGCCATTAACTAATTACGCAAAAACGTGGACTGTTATTTAATTGGAACTCACTGCCGTGCGGGAAGAATTTCGCGTAAATGTCCTTGAACGAGTCCTCGTGCACTACTCCCTCGGGACACTCCTGGAATAAAAGAAAAACAAAAAAAGACCGTGAAAAACGATCATACTCAGTTCCGCGAGAGTTTTATCAGAGCGAGATTAAGCGACGCTCTATGTATATGTACGTATATATTTTCCGGTGATCATTTCTTCGAGCGAGCAATGCTATATTTTTCTGTGGCTTGAAAATATGTGCTGGTGAGACACCGATGACTCGTTCGTCCATCAATAAAGCACAGAATAACATTCGTTTGCTTTAATATCGTGACAGTAGTAGACGCGAAACAGTTGATAAAACCAATTGCGTAGGTAACAGTTTTATTTTTATCGATCCACACATTTTCCCTCGTATATCCCTCGTAAGAAATAGCAAATCGAAACTATGAACGTATCGTAAATCATCTACGATAACGTTTCGCAAACTATCGTGAAGTAACTCTCATGTTTTTCATCTTTGTGCAGAAGCAGACGGGAACAATGAGGATCCCGCACACGATATCGAAGAACGTTGTAGCTGCGTACAGGTAAAATAAAATAGAATAAATAAGTTCCTCTCGCAACGCCTTCTCTTATCTCACCTCGTATATATCCTGATTTCCATATATACGCGCAAATCGAATTTTCCTTGAATAAAGGCATTCTTCGAAAGATGTTCTTTTAAAGTATCCTTTTTAAAGCAATTTAATTTCGCGACAACGCGAAGTATCCGCAAAGAATCGCGTCACGGATCCGCGGCAATCCCCGAAATAGATCTTCGCGATATCTTTACAGAGATACGCAAATAATATTGGTTTCACTCATTTAATATACGTATTTATCTTGGCAAATTGATTCGCAGATGCTCGCCGGAAACCTTACTGTTACCGGAGGAGCAAGGAAGGACGCTTCGGGCGGAAGACGCCTCGTGGGACGACGATTTAATCCCCGATTTAAAAATTCTTGCGCTTCGTACCATAGTTTCGACCTGGAAGGATAATCCTATTCTGGAGGATCTGCCGACATGCGTCGACAGGGATGTACTGCTGGAAACACTACCGACTGATCTACCCTTCGAGTTGACGATACCGAGAATCGAGGGCGAGTTTTATTGGGAACGCGCGGCCAAGGACAGGTAAGACGAACCACTTATCGATTCTCGATTACGTGAAATATTATTACGTAATAGCATACTATCGAATGCAATACTATCGTGTACTTTATAACGAAATTGCGCATTAATCGTGGCTGAATAATAGTTAACTTTATTTGACATTAATTGACGGTAATTTCTGATCTTACAAAATTGAAAAAAACAACTATGCAAATATAATCTAGAAGATTGTAAGTAAAAAGTCAAAAAATTTCAGAGTTAATTTTTCTGTCACATCTAATTAGAAGATTCAATTTAAAACTGAGCATTCGCCTCATACGACAGCAATAGAGAATTAAAATTGTGATAGCTGATGTATAAAAAAAAAACGTGTCCTTTATTATTTTCTACAAAACAACATAGAAGGGAACACTTGGATCTCTTTCTTTGTTAGTCTAATCTCTCATCTTAATTGATTGACTTTGATGGTATTTTAAATTTTAATTATGTTTAATTAATTTTTTAATTTCATTTTAACTTCCACTTATCTTACGAAAATATTTCTGTCTATAAAGGATATATTTATCCGTTAAAATACCAATGATTTCATGTAGACAGATTACGAATGCTTTTAAAACGTGTAATCAATTGATATTAAAATGTTTGCGTAAACAATTTGTGTACAATTTAACTTTCTCTTATCATCACAGGTGGGAGTACAACAATCCAAGCGAGCATGGGAACTCATGGCGGCGATTATATTGCGAACGCCACTTAGCCGAATATCTGGAAACTTTGCCGGCGAGCTACTTCGAGTCTCAAAGAGAAGAATGTGAGAAATTGATGGCTCTCGTAAAGAACCATATACACGTCATAAGGCTTCGTTCTCTCGTGCCGACCAAGTAAGGCGTACATTAAACCCTACATTACTTTTTGTACGTGACAAAAATTAATCAAGACAAATAGAAGGAACTTGTACCCGGGGGGGAAAGCTTTTTCGCTTTTTTTACAAACTTAATGCAAATTTATTATACGCCCGGTAAACGGGTATTATAAGGTGACTCAATTTGGTAAGTTTACAGGGTTTAAACTGTAAGAGGTTGGTTCTTAAAATAATAAAAAAAAAAATAGATATAAATGTTCTCGAAATTTCGAAAAAATAGCTTTGAAGAATTAGAGAATTACGAATCTATTCTAAGTTTTTAATATAATATTTGTAATAAGATTACGCATCTAATATAGCCTGCTTACAATCTGTAAGCAATAGCTACATTACATACATATAGTTAAATCTTCACTGCACCCATCTGAATATGTCTTATATTTTCAATTAATATTCGCGCGAAGATCCTTCAGATTTTCCATTTTGAATTTGATCATCAGTTTTCAGCAAAAATCGCAACAATTTTTGCTGAAAACTTTTAGGTGCATCATATTGGATAAAGTTACCTTGTAATTTTAATTGTTTAATGAATATAACTTCATGTTAAAATTAGACAGAAGTTCTCGTTAATGAGATACTGTATAAAAATTTGCAAAATCTTACGGAAAATACGAAAAATGGATTTATTCACGAGTTCATGTAGCAGGTACAAGTACAGTAGATGTATTGTGTAACGCTAGCGTTTGAGCAGACCTTGCACTGCTTCGCGCACTCCATACAGAAATCCACAGTATTTACGCCGAGACCGAGAACACATCGGAAAATTATTATTAGAGCCGGTCAGTTTGTCGGCTAAAATCGTAAGTGCTTGCACTTGAAGATCCAAGGAGTACGATGGACTCGCGGCGTAAATATCGCACGAAAGCGTGGCGGCCGGTTCTATAATTGGCCAGAGTATCTAGGAGGCTGGAAAATCGCGAATACAGAGTTTCAAATTCCTTCATAATTTTCGTTATCGCGATATTATATGCGTGCAATTATTTTATGTCTTCTGTAGTCTTCGTTTGATTCTATTTCTACGACACCGAATAAGTCTATACACACTGTTAAATTCATAATGTCAAATTATATTATAATTCGAGTCATTTTTCTTATCATTCATATTATTCTCAGAGATCTCTCGTCATTGCTCCTACTCGATAAGTCATTAATTTATCTAAAATGGAGTTAAATAATTTCATTCAAGAAATGTATTAAATTTAATTCAAATTTACTTCATTATTCACTAAGTGCATATACGTTAATATAAATGCTGTTTACTTTTAAACTTAGCAATTCGATCATAGAAATGAGTTGATTAGATGTGGTTGTTTTCTATTAAAACAATATATTTTGATATACTTGGAAGTTAAAAATAATAAAATGTTATTTAACTTAAGAAATTGGTTTAAATTGTAAAAGCCTCGTTCTAATGACTTTGCCAGTGGTTTGGGCTTCACCCAACAGTTCGTCCAACCAGTTAACATTACTTTCATTCACACCTTTACATCAAATTTATAACTGTACGTTCTTCGTATAATCGATCATTCAAGAGAACACGTGCAAATTCAGCTGCGCCAAGTCGAAATCACGACGGCAGAGGCAGGTATATGGCAAATATACTCGCGAGCGAATAAACTTTGTTAATGTATTAAAGTTTCTAATTATATACGAGGGAGAAGACATGCACGCTATCGAATTACCGAAATAATTTCGTATGAATTTTAGAACGGTGTAAATTTTTGCGAAATCGCGGCCAAGCTATGTATGATAGTATGACTATACCTATCAATAGGAAATAATCAGTATCAATAGGAAATAATAGTCCTATCAATAGGACTATACTCAACCAATAGGAAATAAAGATAAGTTCGAAGCTAAATCTTTAGTAGGTAAATATTTCGGTATGAACGTATACATGTATTACGTATCAAATTCTGCCAAACTGCTCGCTGAATCAATTTGTTTTTGACACGCTATACCGACAGAATTGCAATAATATCACAAAAATTAAATTGCCTAACAATTTAATAATTTGATGCTCATAAGCATCTTAGAAATATTTGGCAGAATTTGATTGATATGTAGTATATAAATTCACATCAAATTATTGAAGCACTAAAGATCTAGCTTCCATTATGGACTTTTGAAAGTAATACAAACTATGACAAGGGAACGTAAGCAAAACCTCTCTTCTGACAAGTCTGTTTTTGCAAGCGTAATACAAAAACATTGCAATCATACAAATATATACGATAAAAATATTAAGGCAAATGATTGACGTGCAGTTCGTATAAATTGGAAATTGTAAAATTCATGCAAATGGATTATTAGATACTGATCCTTTTCTTTTGATAAAACCTTTGATTTTTTTTCGCTTATTTGTATTAATCACATATCGATCAATTTTTCATTACTAAAAATATTAATATTTTTATAAATATTTTCACAAATATATATATATATATATATATATATCTTTAATTAAAAATTAATATGAGAATATACATGCATAAATATTTCTAAATGATATTGTGCATAATAACGACAATAAATTTGCAAAAGCTCTGAAAACTTTTCCTGAGTCATTTAATTTCGCATGGGAATGCACATGCACAATTTTTGGAGCAATTTCAAAAAGTGCCGATATACTTTTCATGGACACACATTGTAAGAGGAATTGTTAACATTGTTCCAGTTCCATTTCATTTGCAACTCTTTTAAGGCCGCATTATAAAATGTTGTTGAGAATGGAACTGTAAAAAATGGCTGTTTAAAAAGTAAAGAAGCAAATTTACACAGTTACAGTCAGCAGGAGATGGTCCCTTACTGCTGATGGTTGTAATGAAATTGGAACAGGTAAACGTGAGGGCGGTAAAAAGAGTCGTGCGATCACGTTTGCAAAATTAATCCTAGGCGAAACGAGCAGAATGGTTTCGCCTGTATTGTTCTCGTACAAGAAAAAAAAGAGAATTAATTAACTTCCACAATGTGAATTTTGCAGTATTATTAATGCGGAAAAAGTAAAAGTCTTATTATATGGCACGATTCTATGAACTTTAAAAAGTTCACAAGATGAAATTTTCATTTCCTGACTGAACTTATTACAAATGGAAATATGAAAAGTCATTTGTGCAAGTCAAAATAACTGTGTTTTCTGACATACACGTTCAAATTTTATACAAGAAGCTTCCGCAAGTATATTTGGCAGATTTGCTTAAACGTATGTCAGCCTTAGCCATCTAATTTTATATGAAAATGCATTACGAAAATTTGAGTCGATAAAAAACAGACTATCGGGTCTCTTTAAACGTCTCATTGGAAACAATACACTTGTATATAGTGTATTCAATCCAATTCAATTGCTTATAATTTTCATAAAAATAAATATATTGTAAACAATATTGTTTTCAATTAAAACGTCAGATGTTAAGAAATATAATAGAACTGAATATGCACCGAAAAGGTGTTTAAGAATTAATAATGTTACTTTCACATATTTTAAAGATGAACGTCTGAGATGAATTCATTCGCATACTAGTTAGTAGTCAGACATCTCTCATTCAGACGAAGAGAGATGTCTGAAAAAATGCACGATAAGATACTAGGCATTTGCATAAAAGTGTTCTTAGAGCTCTCTTTGTGAATGTTGCTCTTGCGATTACTGATAATTTCAAAAGTGTGCTAAGTTGAATCAAGGAAGCGTTATCATTCCGCGATGGCAACCGCTACGGGTCTTAATTTAAAAATCATAGTCTCATTTAATTAAGAAGCAACGAGAAAGAGAAAGCTTGGAGAAGGTAATTCTCTCATATCACACTGGGCTGCTCCCTTTCCAAGCAATCCGTAAATCCGCTGTAAGATTTATCTTTACTTTTATTCGGATTACGGAAAGAGCCTTTTACCGTAATCCGTCGGCTTTATCTATTTCTTTTAATATCACATTATTTATTAAACAATTAATATTAACAATAAATATTTAATTTATTAAATTATAATGATCTTTATTATAAAAATTTTTGACGTATGAAAATTTTCTTTTTTCAATCTCATTGTCTCAATAATTTAACAAAACTATATAAATATTGATTAATAATTTTTAAAATATATGATCAGCAATAGTAATGTTTAAATATGCACATTTCTTTACATAAAAATATATATTTTTTAGAAATAAATATTTATTCAAATTTTTCGATTTAAAAACGTTATTTTAACTCTTTCGTTTTTATTTATATAACCACGTATGAACTGTTATGAACTATAAGATAAAATTATATATTTATATTTTTTTCGCATCTGTGAATATATATATAAGCTTCTTACAGTTTTATATAGCTAGACTTAAAACTTCTCTAATAACTTTATAATGTCAATTATTAGCTGCAATTTTTATACGTTTTTAAAATGTCAAAATATTTTTACAAATTTCTTGTTCATTACGTAATAGGCATAAAAATATTTTTAGCTAAATAACTTAGGAATGAAAGAATGAAGTATCACTTAACTTTCAATCTTAAATTATCTGCGACAAATGCAATCATATGGCTGTACACTAATTAATACACGTAAACTGTCAGTATCATCTTTCAATGCATGTGCAAATTTATTATTCGGAATTCCATATCAATTTAGCACATCCAACATATCTAACATATATCTGGCAGTTAATATGACCCGGCGCGTATACGCGTTCTTCAATTATTCACAGCGACTAGCATGTAACTAGGCCTCTACATACGCGATGCAGTTTGTGCAACGTAATCCATCGTCCAATATTGATCAGAGCCACGACTCACTCAAATACATCAACTGTTTCGCGGATAAACCGTTAAGTAACAATCCCAACTAATTTTTTTACCCGCGCGTGGATTTCTCTGTAATACGTTACCAAGGATAAAATATTTTTTTTTACATTAAAAAATTAGTATCTCGTCGCGAATCAATGATAGTACGGATGTAATACGAAAAATTGCAATATATGTGTATATGAAAAAGATAAAAAATATATGCATAAAGTTGGAATTAAAATGGAAAAACTTGCAAAACAAAATTTTTTTATCCTTACATTCGTAGCATTTCACAATATTTTGTTCGAAGCGAATGCAATTAAAATAAAAATAAAAAATTTGATTTTATATATTTCTACATTTTTTAAACTTTATTAATTAAGTTTATAATTAAATATGTTATTATCAAGCTTCGCTTGTGTGTGTGTGTGTATAAAGCTTAGTTTTATCACGCATAAACGCGTAATTAATTTCTAAAAGATATTGCTTTTGACTTTTAATTAACCAATGATATTGAATAAAAATCAATTATCGACAAAACGGCGTTTTTCATATATGTGGTTTGAATACGGCTTCCAGAAAGCAGATAAAGCAAGCTGAGGAGAATGATGAATTAGAAGAAGACATCGTGCATCACATTCCCATGGCTGTTATACTTCCACAATTCCCGAATCTCACCGAGATTTATCTCAACTTCGGTATGATCTACATGAATGACGGTTTCGAGTGGCGAGATTTCAAGTGAGTCGGAAGTTTTCAGTGAGCGTAAAGATGAAGAGAATCCTAGCGTTAAATGATTGATAAAATATTCATCATTCGTACAGATTTTCGTTGGAGGATTGTTTAAGTCTAGGGGAAGGAATTAAAGCCAGCCCGAAATTGAAGAAATTCAGTCTAACTCGGAGCAACTTGGATCAGCCCCGAGTCGCTGCTATTCTTCAAGGGATGATATCGAACGATAACGTTAGTCAATATATCTTCATTATGTGACTAAAAGCAGATCATATTATTTTCGATTAAGAACTTAAAAAAGTGCAACTAAAAGTACAACTTTGCTAAAAGATACGCTAACATCGTGACTGCGTAAGCACTATACGCTTTAATGCTTTCTAACAATAAAACGATAAAATATAGCAGTATCTGCTAAATATTATTCCTGTAATATCTACATATAAAAACAGCTTAGCTGTTTTTATTACTACTACAAAGTTATATATGTAGATAGTGTAACGTATTACAAATAGAGAGTGTAGTGTATCTAGTATACTTCGTAGTAACTTTTTAATGGTGTTATAATGGTGGTCATCTGTGATCGACGATATTAAAATTTTTTTAAACGCTTGTAAAAAATAAATACTATCTGCAATAATATATAATTTTACATGGAACAATTAACATGGAAAATAAAAAACATATAAAATAAAAAATACGTTATTTAACACAGTACTTAGTATAATATATAATAATCATGTTACATATCTTTTCAGTCTTTGCTTGCAGTAATAAAAATTTTACTATATCGTACACGATAATGACATACAAAATTCGCTCGACAGGCAACATGTTAACGAAGAATTTTATCGCTGCATACAATATTATCTCAATTATTCTCGGATGCAGATCGAGGAATTGGATCTGTCGCATTGCAAGTTGATGGATAACGGTGCATACGCGGTGGGCGAATTTCTGTCGAGCCACCAGAAACTGAAGATTCTGCATTTGGCAAATAACAATATAGGACCGAATGGAGTTGCCGGTATCGTTTATGGATTAATAAAAGCTAGCTCGACGGCTCTAAAACATTTGGATTTCCGATTGAATCCTTTGCAAATTGAAGGAACTCATCACATATGCGCTCGTAAGTTTAACATATTATAGTATCGTTTTTCCTTGATAATATCAAAAGCAAACAAAACTCACATTCCTCACATTCTGTCCAGATATTAAATTGTATTTTTATTATTTCAAATTTTATTTAATATGATTTTCTGATAAACTAATAATAAGATTAATGTGTAAACTGTTTCTTTCTATATCCTAAGATCTTTTTTTCTTTTAAGAATTTTTGCATGATGAAGAAATTGACGAGTTTTTAAAGAAATATTTAAAGATGTCGAAAACTTTCTTCAAAATATATTAAAATTCATTGTGAGATATATATATCTTTTAACTTATGGAGTAAATGATTTCACAAACAATTCTCTCTCTCTCTCTCTCTCTCTCTCTCTCTCTCTCTCTCTCTCTCCCTCCTTTTTTCTTTCTCTCTCTCTTTCTTTAATTTGGAATGAGCTATCAAGATAAATAATTCTTTATTTGTTTGGAAAAATGCAGCGCTACTCTGGAGATTATCCAATGGTGTTTTCTACAGAATTCAGTATCCGAGTAATATAAAGCTCGTCGAGATAAATTGAAATTTAATGTTGCGTGCAGTACTACTTTATTCCGGGCACTATACGGATGTGTTGCATTTTCGTCGAATAATGGAAATATCACGAATTTCGTATTCCTAGCATTGTTTTCTCTTTCAAAAAGTTTTTTTTTCTAAATTTATCAATATACATATATAGGTATTAGGTATTGGAATTAATTCGTAGCGTTTTTTAATGAAAGAATGTTATTTATTTCACATGAGCATTAAAAAATACGTTAATGAAAGTACTTCCCATCACTTGTAAAACGCTACGAATTAATTCCAACACCTAATATATACAGATCAATAACAAAATTGAAATAAAGATTTTGTCGTACTTAGATTTTCTGTATTTCTGAATATATAATATAATTTTTATGACGTTTAATGAATACTAGTGAAAGAGATTTCCCTCCCCCCCTTTCTCTCTCTCTGCTCTAAAATACTAAACGCACTATCTATCTATCTCTCTCTACGAAGAAAATAATAGAATTTACTTCTCTAAATATCTCTGCCAAAATCGTCTGAGTTAATAATGTTTTATTGTCCAAAAACTCTTAAAAATACGAAAATGTGCATCTAAAGCTAAAATATTAAGATTAAAAGATGTCATTATCTTGAATTTTATTTTAAAATATCGCGTATAATTGTCTTAATGGACCGAATGAAAGCTATAATGCATGACCTCGCTGCACGAAGCCGCACTGCTTACTACTAATTTTCAAAAACTGAATGCACAAAATTCCATGTAATCTCAAATATTAGCATAGTAAAAAAAGAAGAATATAATCGACTCGCAAGTCGAAAGTGTGGCATAAGCAGCACGCTAAATTATTTAAATAAATGCAAGCTGAATAGCAGATCGTGGCATGCGCGTGCATACAAATAGGATGTTACAACACGTATAGAACGTGACTAAAATTCCCATATAAAAATACATGATAGAGCAATAACATCTATTACAGATACAAAATCACTGCAATTTTTCGAGGATATGTTCTCAGATATACATACATACTCATTATAAAATAATAGCCCAGTTTTTTTTTTTACGTTTATGAATAAAAAATTCTAGAAAATAGGTTGCCAATCTTCGACCCTGATCATTTCTTTAGATGTAAAATTTTGTTTAATGCTTAGATTATCTGAAAAATCATGTAAACAGAAAATATCAGAAATGACAGAATATATCGTTTTATTACTTTAACGCAGAATATATGTTACGCAAGGTAGAATTTAACATTATAAATAGTGATTACTTCGAGAATAGTTTTATTTTCATAATCTATTTATACATATATGTATATTTTTATATTTACTTATAATAATTATAATAAATTTTTTGCAAAAATATCGTTCATTTATAAGAGATTTTTATTTATGCCTTGTTAATTAATTTATCATTTTCAGTCCTGATAAGAAACAAAACTTTGGAAACATTGAATATCAGTGGCTGCGAATTAGGTCCGGAAGAAGGTATAGCGTTGGCCGATGTACTGTCTTCCGGTTGCGTGGAACTCGAAACCTTATCTCTCGATGTATCAAACAATAATTTTGGATTTACCGGTATTAATAACAGTGAATTATTTTATATAAAATCTATATGCTTTCGTTCTTAATTTGAAAAAAAAAATAGAAACATTTAAAAAAAAAAATTCTCGAAAAATTTCTAAAGTCATATGTGGAACGATCAAGATAACTGCGTAAAAAGATAATAACAATGAATGCAAAGAGCCTAAAAAATGTTAAGGGCCATCAATTATTTTTATCGTTGGATAATCGTTGCGCAATTATCTTAATGCTTGCAGTCCTCGAAAGATTTGTGCTCTGGTGAAAAAACTATGAAATTTGTTCCAGCTGGAGAGTCATTTGAGGCGGCCGTGGGTTCAAACCCGTATATTATCTACTTGAATGGTCGAATGTGCAATTTCTCGAAAGAATCGGAGTACTCGATCATCGAGAGCGCACGCAGGTGAAACCCATGATTATCGATTACGAGAAATAAAATGTTTCACTTTTTTTTTTACATTTATTTAATTTTCGAGCAGCCTGCTCTTTCTAACGTGCAGCACCATTTCACTTTGGTTACTTTTTCTATTTCTACATGTGGCGTGCTCAAGACAAGACATACTATAATTTTAATAAATCTGCAGAGAACAATCGAAAAATAGTGCGCAGTCCGTCGGAGATCTCTAAATTTCCATCGTATTTTCGTAATGCTTGACTTTATTGGGTTATTTTAGGCAAACTTCCACGTTCGGTCCGTGTATTCGCTCGTACGTACGTCGCGATTTATTAAGACAGGCAAAAGGATTGTTATGTTCTCGAGAGAATTCACGATTTTCACTATTCTCGTGACATAATTTTCACGCGCTCGAAATTTATATTAATTTCCAACTGCTTCTTCGTGTTTATATCGTGAATTTTCATGCAGCACGTCTCGGAGAGATTACATAATTTCTCTTGAGATTTTTCAAAATGTGAATTAAAATACATCCTGATAATTAATATGTCATAATCAAATGGCACTCGAATAGAATTTTTATTAGCAAAAAACATTCAGTATTTTATCCAATTTTCATTTTACGAGAATTGCAAGAGACGGGTGACGACAATTCCTCCAACATTTCGATTACCTCTTCCAGTCAATACTGTCACGAGATAACCACTCTGGAGTTCTGGATTGCTTGCAGGCTGCGTTTGCAAACCTCATTATGCTCGAAAGGGCAACACGATCGCCGTCAGAACAGAATAGATGTGTTGTCAACTTCGGGTGCAAGCAGTTCGACAAAGGCGACGAATCTTGTCGTGCTTGGCCGCACGCCAAGCCGTTGTACGAAGACAACTTTCTTTCTTAATAGAACAACGATGTCTCGTCGTATCGGGAGTCGTTAATCGACATCGTTAAATCGCGAGAGCGATTGATTGTCGATAGCAGAGAATCGCAAACCGTTTGGCGTCCTCGCTTGCGTGTATATAAATGTAAGAGAGAGTCTCTTCTTGCTCGCTGTTAAACTCAGTTGTTACACGTCTATTTAGCGCGCCTCGTTTCCAGTCCAGCACTAATTTAGTCAATCGATTTATCCGTTTTTCCCTCTTTTTTTTTACGAACGCACACGCGGTATCCCTTCTTCTCTCTCTCTCTTTCTTTCTTTGTCTCTCTTATTACACCGATCTCCCGTTGATCGCGTCTTCCATGCACCTTTGACCTATTGACTTCGTTGTTCACGTGCTGCGTAATATAAGCGTATCAAGGATCCTCACTTATGAATACGTGGCGGCCCTGAGGACTGATTGCACATATGAGATGCGCAATTCCATGCCCTCAAGACAATCGCCCAACGATAATTATACATGTATTGTATGTCAAGAATTTAACATGAGAATGGTCGAAATTATTATGTCTCGTCTATATAATATAAATACATCTGTCTTACCTTTAAAAACATTTAATCATTGCACAATATAAATTTTATAATTACTTTAATGTAAAATGTTTTTTATAAATGTCTTTTATAAATAATCATAAAATAATTCTAAATTTTCAATCAATTAATTTTTGCACATCAACGATATACTTATACAAGTCTATCTGAAAATGCATACTTTATTTAAAAAACAAAATATTCTTTTTTTTTTTAAATCATATCTTCTATAATAACGTTACGTCTATCTTAAATTTTGTTTATTAAAAGACTTAGTGAATATTGAAAGCTTAATTGTTTTTGAGATATAAACACTTTTATGTTAGCATCAAGAATGACTTGTGGTTCTACATATTATATTTGGTGATTACAATAATTGCCGGTAAAATCTTCTATATTAAATATATGTACGAAAGGATATTAAGATGAACATCATGCAAGACGTAGAAGCCATTCATAATGCTAACATACAAAAATATTTATATGTCAGAGAAACAATTAAGTTTCCGATTTATGTTCATTAAGGTTTTTTTACTCGGTATGATGATGGGATACAATGAGGAGCAAAAATGAGTTCCTTTATCGGTGTAGCTTATAGGTGTAGTGTTTCTATAATACTATTGAATAGTAAGATTAATACGTGCGATGATGACGCACGAATGGCGCGCTCATCTCTACCTATATATAGCTACACCAGAAAAGAAACTCATTTTTGTTTCTCATTGTGCTATACTACATAAATGCTAAATGGTTTTCTTGAACACCCTGTAAATATATCACAAAAATAGTAAATATGATTTATGATAAATCTGTTAATAAAATGGTCGTACTGATATTTTAAAAGAACTGAGACGATCATTGTTATCGCGAAATTACACTTCGACATATTATATTTCCGTTTCTATAATCGTGAGACGTAAAACTTTACTTCAACAACTTAGTATTGTGCGCGTTTATTTTCTGCTGGGCGTATTTTTCAATTTATTTTATCGCAATGAGTTATTGCTTCACGGTTGCCGTTATAAATGTTTGTAACGTCCACGTTTACGCAGGAATAAACAAAACATAAAAAAGGAGAAGAGTAAAACAGCGTTTTCTCAAAGCAACGATGTCTATAATTCACCCAGTGCCAAGAATTTGCAACAACAGCCGGAAGTTAAGTTCTTATTCCCAGAACCAAAGGATATCGTGTAACATTTTTCTGGCAGATAAATCGGTGACGATAAAAGTTAGTAGTGTATTACTTTATACATTATTGCTTCATTTTAACCCATGCATTAAATACGTAGCATTATATGATACATAAACGTATCATCAACCCAATATATAAGAACATCACGAACTTTTTATCGCGCTTTTTAGTTAACTTTAGAGGATCGTGTACATATTTTTGTAAATGCGAATTATATACTAGGGCTAATATTCATTGTCCGTGCTTATATTTAAGACCATCTTAAGTACAGTATTAAAATATCGTAAACTGAAGCCATATTAGCATCTTAACCCATCAAGTCTTAAAAGATATCCATATGCACTTTTCTATTTTAAATTCTTGTAACTCGAGTGCTAATAAAAGTTTTTAGATTGCAATTGATATTTAGTGGCAAAAAGAGTTACTTTCTGAAAATCTAATCACCGATGGTATGAGAAAAAAAGAAAGATGGAGGTAAAAAAAAACTCTTATCTTTTTATCGACAAAGATTCAATCAATAAATGATTTCATTTATCTTTTTGAGTAGAATATATCAGTCAAATAATAATTATATCAATTTCTTCTATTCAACTTGAATAATCTGATAGTACAATTATTAAAATATACGATTAACACTTGAAATAAGAACAAACTATGAATACCTAAGTCTCTCTAATACCTTTCAATTTTTTGTGTCTATATATCGAGTATTTTTTATTTAAAAGTATTACTTTGTATTACTTTTTATTTAGAGTATACTTATTGTTTACGTATCAACGTCGTGTTGGAAATGTTTCAATTTGAAATTTCAAATTTTATCACGTTCATATCTCAGGTTTAAAAATGATACGCAATAATATTCAAGGCGATATTTAAGAGCAATATTAAATTTAATTAATCACATTACAGAAATTACAAATGAGCAAGAGAAGATAAAATCAATCCTCAAAGTTCAACATTCAAGTGGCCTCGTCTATTAGGAGAAGCCGAGCTCTCCTGGTCATAGAAAATTTAAGATGCCGTTTAGATAGCGACGCCACGATGTATCCAGAAGAGTGCTTACCAGTCGAGTTTTCAGATAATAAAACGAAGACGATGGTCCATATACAGACACCGAGGAACATTGCCAACTCTGATTCCAATCAATCTACTACCCATTTTTCCAAGATCAATATAACTTATATTTTTTAATGAAATGAACTCTCTAAATAATAAAAATGGCAAAATTTTACAATTTATTATAAATATAATAAATCATTGTATCCTCTCTTTCTCTCTCTTTCTGTTTTTTTTTTATTTATTATACTCATTCATTTTTTATCCTATCTTTTCCTTGTAACTTTTATATCTGATGAGTTAATAAAATATTAAAATACTATATCAGAAAGAATCGCAGAACAAATTAATAATTCTTTACTTTCATCGTAGATTAATTTATTTATAGCAATATTAAAAGTATAATATTATGTATTAATTTAACAAAAAATATTTTAATGATAATTTTTTATTTAACAAAGTTTTATTATTGAAGAAAAAGTAACATTTCTCAATTATTTATCGGATCTTTTAATCGACTAGACTAATTGAATCGTCGAAGCGCTTTAACAATTTAAGCAAATATCACGATCGAGAGTTCCTACTTTAAAACGTAAACTACTTTTCCAACGTTCTTACTTCAAAATAACAAATTAATCAAAAATTTAAAAATACATAGCGATAATGCAAACATTATATGAATCTGCTAAATACATAATGCAATGATGAATACGTGAACTCATATAAAGCGATAATAACGCGTCCTTTATTACACATGTGATGAAGATTGCATTGTCAACGAAATCAGCAGTTGCGGCGGACTATCCTGAATAATATCTATGTTGTCATTGTAGGGAGTTGCAATAACAATTTCTAAACTGTAGGTGTCTTTCAACGAGCGAGCGTTCGCGTGAACAATCACATTTGGCTGTGTATATACGCACATAATGACTAACCGAAAAAATTCATGCAAATAGCGAAATTTCCGCCGCATCTGTAATTAAAAAACCCTCGCAAAAACTCATAAAATTTCTTTGTCATAAAAAATACCGAAAATAGCATAAATAATCGAAACAAATGCCAGAAAATGTGATACGTGAGAGAATACTGTTTACATAATTGCGCTAACTGATATTAAAAATTATACTTTCAACTCTCTCTGTCCATTGTTGTATATAATTTCTTGTATCTCTTCACCTGTTCATGAAATCAGTACATATTTTATTCCCGCAATTATATGTTCCATGCTCAAGAATATTCTTCCAAGAAAGTTCATCAATTTGTTCTGCGAAGCTAATACCGTATTTGAAAATCGTTTCTAATGGGTGTTTTTTATTGATAAATCAACACAAATGTCATTCTTTGCATTCCATGAATAAAGACAGAACGACTTGCGTCGACTAAATAGAAGACACCTAATATATTCGCATTAATAATATTTGCTTCAATTTGTTTGATAGATTGACATACATATGCATTCACAATTCGAGAGATACTGTAATTACTTTTTTTTTTTACTCAGATAACGGGGACTCTCTGAGGTGACTTTTAAACCAATTCCGAAAACACAAAGCGCGAGCACTAGATAGTTAAAACAGTAACGGTGTTCCGGTTCAAGTGAAGTTCTCATGTGAATCTAGCTCGAATCAATATTAACCACCATGACTTGCGGCTTTTATTTTCGATCTCCACTGTTCTTCAACAGCCACATGTCCATCGAAAAGGGAACGAAAAAATAAAGTTTCCCTCTATCTCTGTATCCCTTACGTTGTTTCCATTAAACTTTTTTCATTTATATGTACAAACATACATACACATATTTATATACATATATGTATATGTATATAATGTATTTTGTTCATGAATGAGTGATCTAACTTGGCACGGTCTAGTTGTTGCCATAAGCCATGTGGCGTATTAAATCTCACGAAGATGCTGACTGATCGTTGAATTTCCACATTTCCGATCCATTCGCGATTGCATTTTTGTCTATTCCAATACAGCTTTTTGTTTCGCGCGCCGAGTCATAATTGAACATTCAAGCACATAACGCGCCGCTTCGCTGAAATTGATCTCGCTTGGCAAAAATCTGTCTTTCTTATCGTTTCAAATGACGTAAATGAAATCCAAACGAAAGAAAGATGTCAAAGAAAAATATTAGGTTGATAAAAGTTCATAGTGCACATAAACTTTAAAATTCAAACAACTTCACATTAAAAATGAACAAAATAGAGAAATTTAAAAAAGGATTTTAAAATTTAAAACCTGCAACCTTATAGTGAACGTAACTATTTTTCTAATATTTGCTTACCGTAGCAATAATAAAAAAATATATAAAAAAAGAATCACTTTCAATTGCATCACACTAATATAATAATTGCATATCATAGTTTTGATGATCCTATACATGATGCAGTTAAAGCAGTTATAATTTGCACGGTTAAAATAACTAAGATAAATATATAGTTGGCATAAAAAATAATTATAATTAAGTTGTCATAGTTACAACTATTTTCTATCACTGTAAATTCGACGAGACTTATCAAAGTAAAAATGTTGCCGTTCAATTATAGAACACTCCACGTGAGAAGCTATCGAGATGACCATACATGTTATATGCTACATCGGGTGATTCAGAAATCACGTTTTCTCACGTGTTGTAACTACGATGTAACGAACGGTGTACTCTTATACAGCCGATATCAGCGTCAGCGTCCGCATGCAAAATAGTATTTAAAGCACGGCCTCGCGCGTCTAGCTCCGATATCGTGTATATCGTGTACATTTCACAAGCCTGAAAATAAAGTTTCCGTCCGTGGATGTGCTCTCCCGGGAGCGTGAATAGGTCCTATCTCCGCTAGTACACTAGAAATCGTTCGGTTTATGCTTTCGCGATCTTGCTTCTCAATTCCAGGTGTTCGCAATTCCAGGCAATATGGCCGAGATACAGAAGCGTCTGGGGAAATTCATTGTTTAAACAACTGCAAGAAATGCAGGGGATGCGTGTATGTATGTGAGAGAAAGAAAGAAAGACTGGAGATCTTCCTGTTCATCCCATGGGAGATGCCGGACTTGGCTTTCAGCCCCGTCGATCTCGGTCTCCGCGCATTTAGTAAATTGAATGAAGGATGCACACGAGCGTTCACCAATCGGACCACTCATTCTCAAAGATTTCGTACGTAACTACTTGTATTTTGGACTTTCCAAATCATTCGATATTTCAGGAAAGCATCTCATTATTTCACTTGTTCCCATTTAGAAACTCCAATCGCAAATTTATTCCACCGAAAATATTTATTTAATATGAAATTATTTCTAAAAATATTCGCTTGAGAAAATTTATTCTGTTAAAAAATATTTACTCCACAGATTTATGTGATTTATAAAAGGATCTAAGGAAGATCGGAAAGATTAACTTGATATACATCAAATAGAATATATAACGTTCGTGCGCACGGTAAACAGATTTTAAATTGAAAAGAGAATATTAAAACTGGCGATGATGACGACTTGTTTGAAAAATGTAACATTCGCTAAATTCGCGATTTGCGGCGACTGCAATTATGTTTACACGTATAGTGAAAAATAACGTAACGGTGTCGACTTGCGAGCATTCGCACATGAAAGCCGTACAAACATACTGACTAAAATTAAACGCGTGGTGCCAACGTCAAATCCGACAAACATTTGGCAAACGAGCCGCTAAGCGTTAGAGGCAACGAAAACGATACAATTTCTTATCGCTGCAATACGACGGATAATATTCGTGCGCAGAAACGTCATCCGCAAGAATTATTAGACGAGTTTCGCGACGCAGAACGATACCAGAAATCCCTGTTGAGACTTTATCAAGTACATGTAACAGGAAACGACGTGTATATATGTATACACTCGCGACATGAATATACGAATTTAACAACCGGTCGGATCACAAATTTAACAGAATTTCCACGTTTCTGTATATCGAACGGTCGAATCGATAACTCTAAAACCACGTGTGTGACTTCTTCGCCATCGCGTGCCGATGATATCGGTATTTCACGGTGAATGTTAATCCCACGACGCGTTGTCCAATTTCCTTGCTGTGTAAAATACTATGTGCACAATGCAATTTGAAATAATAGCTAAACGGTCGACACGTGATCAATACAGTCTACCTCGTAATTAATACAGAGCAGGGATTGAAACCGACGTACGTTCCGACATGTCAATTTTCAGCTAAAACACGCTGTAAGCCCAAATGAATCTAATGAAAGGGTCTTTTTCACAGAGCTATCACGGGATTCGGAATATTTTTTTCAACGGATAGATAATTATACTCGAAATTTACTAGTCTCACTCTTTTACATTTTCAGGTATTAAACGCTCTCTACTCTGTGCCTCACCGTCAAGTTTTTATCAAATAAGTACAATTTTGCTCGAATCGAAATTAAATTCTTTCAAAAATATATGAATGTTTAAAATTATTCTTGGTATTGCACATTGGCGCCTCAACAAGCTACGTTCCTGGAGAAATGGGTTCATCGACTCCAACATGAAAGAGCCGAATAACCATGTTGCTACCTTTGTATTCTTCCAATGGCGTACTTTATAAAAATGAGTGAAGAACACGTCATAACATACATGATTGGTAGTTCTATGATATATAATTTAGTTTCCACAAACATTATGTTATTAATATTTCAACTATTATCGTAACTACTATAAATAATTGCGTGAGAATACCAACTGGTGTAACATTCAGTGTATGTACAAAATTGAATAAATGAGTAGCAAAGTCAGAATCGCGGAAGGAACAAAAGCACGAGCGAAATTAAGTTCTTTGCCTTCAAGGAGACCATGATTCTAAAAAACCAGAATTATTTATTTAAACGTGAACAGTTGTTGAAGCTACAAACGAAAGTACCTAGAAATATGTACCTAGAGAAATAAATCTTGGTGCAAGAAAAATGT